ACTGCTTGATAGTGTTCCATAGCTCTGATGCTTTATTTTTTTGTTAGTCTTTTTTCTCCTCATGCTTTTCTTTGAACAGTTTCTGTTGCTATTTCACTGATTTAAAAAAGAAATCATTATCTGTTTTGTTGTTAATATTATCCAATGTACTTTTCACTTTAGTTGTCTTTTTTGTCTCTGGAAATTCAATTTCGGTCTTTTATTTTTTTTTAAACATCTTCCATTTTTCTCATCATGTTCATATTTTCTGCTCTATTGCTGGACATGAAGAGCACATTGATAGTAACTGTTTTATGTAGTTGTCCGCTAAGTCCATTAACCATATTATTTCTATGTATGTTTTAAGTATTTCAGTTTTCTCCTTGTTAAGGGTTATATTTTCCACTACTTTGCATGCCTAGTAATTTTTTATTAGATGTTAGACATTGTTACATTTACACTGTTGGATGATGTTTGATTCCTTCAAAGAGTGTTGGACTCTGTTCTGTCATGCAGTTGAATTATTCAGGATTAGTTTGATTCCTCGAGTCCCTTTAGTTTTGGGGGGTAGGCCCACTGCAGTCTTTAGTCTAGGACTAATTCAGCCCCACTAGCTATACCCATCTAAGGACTCCACCTGCTGCTCCATGATGTTGTCTCTTCATTGTAGACAGTGGAAAAGCAACATGTTCTGAGCCCTGTGCAACCTCCAAGAAAAGTCTGGCCTTCTTCTTTTCAATGGTTCTTTCTCTACCCTCTTGGAGTTCATACTTTGCATGTATGGATGCGTTTTCAGCCAAGATTCAGAGCTCTCTCTTTATGCAATATCCTCTCTTCATTGTACTGCCTTATAAATTCTAGCCAACTCAGACTCACCGATCTCTGATCTAAATGCAGCAAGACAACTAGACTGGGATCTTCCTGCCCCTGCTCTTCAACCTGGGAAATGCCTCCATGCAGTAAGCTGGGGCAATGGTAGGGTGCATTTCATTTGCTTCCCTTCTCCCAGGGATCATATAGTCTTGTGCTCCCTGTTGAACAATGTCTGAATACAATTTTCGTTTCCAGTCTGGTTTTCCAGTTGTTTGCAGAAAAGAAAGAAAATTCCTCTAGCAGTTACTACTTTATGGGAAGAGGGCAAAAGCAGACATTTCCTACACATTCATTTTCATTTTGTGAAATCAACTTTTTTTAATGTACATTTTAAAACACAGATTTAGTTCAATAACATTTCCCATATCAAATCTATCAATAAGAGATTCTGACAACAGCCCTTATTTCTAAGTTCAATAAACAAAAACAAATGTTCAGATCTAAATTTTATCAAGAATGTTTTATTCTTCTATCAATTTTTTGGCCTCTAACAAAACTTACAAAGTTCATTTTGTATATCTTTTTCTACCAGTAATAGTCATCGTATGAATTAAGACTGTAGCTATATTTATTGTTGCTAAATAGAAGAAAACCTGAAAATTCACATACCCTATGGCCTACCAATTCCACTTCTAGGCAAATGTCCAAGAGAAACATATATATGTACATTCACCAAAAGACACACAAAGAAATGTTCATAGCAGCACTAGGAATAAATTCCCCAATCTGCAAACAACCTAGATGCCCCTCAACAGTTGTGAATGGTTAAACTGTGGTGTATTCATATCATGGACATTATATAGCAACAATAATGAAAAATTATTGCTGCTTAGCAACAGCATGGATGAATCTCACAACACATAATACTGGGCAAAAGAGGCAAGACACCAAAGACTTCATTGAGTATGATTCCATTTATGTAAAGGTGGAAAGCAAACAGAAACAACTTATGGCGTTAGAAGTTGGACGGCGGTTACTTAGGTTGGTGTGGTAGGTGTGGGACTAGGGACGGGGAATGTGGCATAAGCCAGACTGGATGCCGTTTGTTGGCATTGTTTTTGATCTGCGTGATATTTCACAATGTATTTGCTTTATCAAAATTCACCAAATAGACTTATTGTCTGTATAGTTTTCAGTAGGTATTATGCTAATTAACTTTATTAATAACTCTCTCTGTGTATAAAGCTGTTAATTTTTATCCTGAGAAATTCATCTATAAATCTGGAAACTAACTGGAATTCCATGAGCATTTAAAGATACATAAACTGTTCCACTGACTGCTACCAATGATGGCTCTTTTTTAAGTGAACCACATTCTGGAAGGAAAACTAAGGACACTGATGATTTTTATGGTCATCTGGATGCACTAATATATGTTTTTCACTTGCATTTACCTTGGAGAAAAATTTCTGTGTCTAAAACTAGTAATTAAAATCCTCCAGGTAATATTATAATAGTTTAAGAACATGGGTTCTGGAGACAAATTTGTCTGGGTCTAAATCCTGGCTCTGCTATTTACTAGTGTTGTAAAGCAAAGCTCGCGAGTCAGGCAGACAACGGTAACAATTATGCCAATTTAGGGAGTCTTTATTGCAAAGCCAGCGGCTACGAGGGGGCTGGTGCCTCCGAAGACCTTGCAGCCCTGAAGGGAAGTTGGGTAGGGTTTATAAAAGCAAAAACCACAGGGGTACATTGAGGCAGGGTAATTCCATTGAGGCAAACAGAAACTGTTAACAAGTCCCAACCTTTATAGACTTGTGGGATGCTGATTCTGAGGTGGAAAGTTCCAGGGGGATGATGTATGTTGAAACTATATATATCCACACACAGGCGGAAAGTATCTTACAGGACAAGGGTCTAGTCCTAGCAAAGTGTTAGTACAGAAGCTGAAATAGCAGGGTTGTGTTAATAACTAACCTTATTTATTAGTATAGTTTATAAGTACGGAACAATTAACAGGTTGTTCAAGCTATAGTTGGGTATCCTTTGTTATGGGGGGCTACTGGGAGAACTCTTGAGCTGGGACTTTTTCTGGGCAGGGTAAGGTAAATTAAGGCAAAGTCTAATAGAGAAGCTGAAACTGCATACATCCTAATATTCGCACGCATATGATTTCCGAGAACAGCGCCTGATTTCAGGTAGCTAAGCTATGGGGGGGGGGGCACTGGCCCTTTTGTAATAATGGCTTGAGCTAAGCACTAAGAGAAACAGGGACCTTTCGTCACTAGCTGAGCGTCTGGGGCAAGAAGCTATGCCTCAGTTTCCTCATCTGTAAAAGAGGGATAAGTTTATTATTAAGATTAGATGAATGTTAATAAAGAATAAATATGAAGGAGCACATGCAAAACAGCAGGAAATTTCTTAAAATACTGTGGCTGGTAACTGCTTTTTCTCCTTTGTATCTCTGTAAACATTACGTGACATCCCATGCAAGACTTATTTTTTAGATAACATTGTTTCATTCAATCAACACTGGTGAAGTGGTCTGTTCTTGTGTGCCTCAGACCTTGACATTTTCATCTTTGGAAATGATTGCACATCAAGACATTTTCTTCCTATTTAAGCAAGTTCCTTCTATTTCAAATATGTGTTCTGGTCCATAAGTCTTCTCCTCTATGAGCTTCTCCAGCTCAGCTGTTACTGCCTTTCCCGTTTTCTTCACAATGTAAAAAGAAAAATGCTTAAACTAAATCCAACCATTAGTACAGACTTAGAAAGTGAGTAATGGCATTAATTTCTTCAATATTTGGGGTCTCAGACAAAACATTTAAATCTCATGGCTTTCTCTAGACTCATAATAATAAGGGGGATAACATATTTCTTTTATGTAGTTTTTAAAAAGTTCCTTTAGTTCTTAAATTTTTTTTAAAAATTTAAAATAAATTATATGTATAGAAAAGTACATAAATTGCTATGTAGAACAGCTACAATGGAGCCACTCCCACACTCGAACAATTTGAGAAGCTATATGAAAATTTTTCTTTAAGAAATAAAAAATTAAAATATCTGTTTGAAGACATTAGAAAGCTGTGGTGGCAGCCAGGACTGAAGGAACTAAGGTCCCAGAGAGGAGTGGGGTATAGAGAAGGGTAGGCATTTGCCCACTGGTGTTCCTCTTAAAGACATCTCTGTCAACTAAGCCATTCAGGAATGCTAGAAGCCAAACACAAAGCGGCTGAAATCACAGTGTACTGTACGGAGGAGACACAAACTGGAATACAAGACCGGCCATAGAGGGGAGCCACAGGAAACACCCCAGGCTTCTTGGTGGAAGGGCTACACCATAGGAATGGCAGAAAATCAGAACAGACTGAGTCTTATACAAATTGCAAATCAGCTTCAGTTCTGCTCAATTCCCTATTGGATTGAAATGTGCTATTTATCTACTGCTATGTAACAATGTATCCCAAAACATAGTGGCTTAAAAAAATAAACCATTACCTCACAGTTTCTGTGGGTAAAGTAGGGAGCAGTATCGTTGGGAATTTTGGTACAGGATCGCTTATAGGTTGCAGTCAGGATGTTGGCTTGGCAGGGGCTGCACTCATGTGAAGGTGTGACTGGGGCTGCAGGTTCCGCTTCTAAAACGGCTTACTCACATGGCTGCTGACACAGTGCCTCATCATCTGGGACTCCGAATAGGTTGCTTGATGCCCTCCAGTAACCTATGCTTGTTGCCATGCTATCATGGCAGTTAATGTGCCCAGAACAAGTAACCCAAGAGAAAGCAAGGAAGCTACTACTTTTACGATCTAGTTCCACAATGTTACTTTTACCATATTCTGTTTGCTGTCACCAAGTATAGCCCTTGAAGGGAATTAGGCTCCACCTTTTTAAAGGAAGGAATATCAAAGAATATGTGGGCATATTTTAAAACCATCAAACGAGGCTGTGACCCTCTCTCTGCTGCCTGCCAGCGTAGAGGGTGAACCCACTCTGATGGAAGATAACATCATTTAGAGCCTCTACAATTTTCAATATACAATGTCCAAGATTCAAACAAAAAATTAGCAGGTAAAGTAAGAAAAATACCAAATAGAAACAGAGCTCAAAGTAACCCAGATACAAGTATTAAGGAATAGGTCAGAAAATAACAGTGATAAAATGTTTAACAGATGGATGATAAAATGAAGAATTTCACCACAGAAGCTGAATCTATAAAAAGAGAATCTAATGGAGAGGGAGAACTGAAAAAGTAAAGTGAAATTAAGAATTCAATACATGGGCTTAACAGCCACTTATATCTAGCTGAAGAAAGGATTATTAAACTGAAAAATAAGTTAGCAGAAAATATCCAGACCATAGCATGGAAAACAAAAAAGATGGAGTGTACAGAGAAGCATGTAATTAGTATACTACAGGGGAGAAAAAATAGAATGGTATAGAAGCAATATATGAAGAGGTAATTGCTAAGAAGTTTCCAAAGATGATAAAAGATATCAAGCCACAGGATCAAAGACTATAAACCCCAATCTGGATAAATTAAAAAGCAAAACAAAATACCCCATAACTAGCACCATACTGATGGAAACCAAAAATAAGTAGAATATCTTAAATGCAGCTATAGAAATACAGACATTATCTTCAAAGAAGCAACAATATGACTGCCTAACTTTTCAACAGAAATTATAGAAGTCAGAAGACAGTGACATCTTGAAAGTACTGAAAGAAAATAACTGTCAACCTACAATTCAACACCCATGTTAAAATATCCTGTAAATACAAAGTCAAGGGCCGGCCCAGTGGCTCAGTTGGTTAAGCGCTCGCTTGGGAGCACCAGCTCTGAGCAGCAGGGCCACAGTTTGGATCCCACATTGAGGGCCAGTGACACTGCGCCCTCTACAGCTAAGATCATGAAAAACAGCTCATCCTGGAGCTGGGCTGCTGTGAGTCGCCAGCAACGACGTAGGCTGCAGCCGGGCTGCAGTAGGCTGCCGTGAGCTACATGAGCGGCCGATCAATGACAGGTGACCGACTGCCTCACCCGGAGGAGCGCAATGATCATATCAACATGGCCAGTGAAGCGACGTCCTCCACAACTAGACTGAAGAACAAAACAGCAATTTGTCTACCCGTCTGTTCTCCTTCCCTGATTCCCCAATGCTGTTCTCCTCCAATTCCCCAAAAAAAATTTTAAAAAAAAAAAAAAAAAAAAACCAAGTCAAAATGAAAGTATTTCCAGACAAATAAAAACTGACAATTTATCCTGAGCAGAAAAAAAAAAAAGTAATAAATGGAGTTCTTCAGGCAGAAGCAAACTGATCCCAGATGGAATAATAACTGTACAAAATAGTGATATTATTTTCTAAGGTTTAAAATAATGTAAAATTAAAAAGTATGAAAGATGGCAGAAAGAGCAGTAAATGGAGTTAAAACGTTCTAAGGTCAAATATTGCCTACAAAATGGTAAAAGTAGCAATTCATATTAGAGTCTAATATTAGAAGCAAGAATCCATATCATGATCTTTAGGATAACTTCTAAAGGAATGATGAAAGATGATGTATAATTAATAGGTAGTGGAGAAAGGAAGAAAAAGATTAATCTACAAGAATTCTAAAACAGAGACAGACACATAGAGGAGGAAAGGACCATAAAATAGATAGGACTGACTAGACTGAAGAACAAAAGGACAGCAATTTGTCTGTTCCCCTTCCCCGATTCCCCAATGCTGTTCCCCTCCCCCAATTCCCCAATAAAATCTTACACAAAAAAAACAGATAGGACTGTAGTTATGAACTTATATATAGCAGTAAAATTATATTAAAGATAAACAATCTAAATTTTCTAATAGATAATTATTTTCAAATTGAATTAAAAATACATGTTCAGCTTAATAAATAAGTATACAACTAGCACCCACATAGCTACCACTCAGGTAAATACATTTTAAATTATCAGCACTTCAGAAATCCATGTCTCCATCCTATATCATAAATCTCCTCCGAAACGAGCATTTATGGTACTAATTTCCTTGTTTTACTTTTTAGATTTACCATCACTTTGAACTCCTAAATAATGGTCCTTTTTTACTGGCTATTTTTGAACTTCATTTGAATGGTATCTCACTATTATTTTGTGTCTGCTTTTCAATAATGTTTTGTGGCTGCAACTTACTGCAATTTATTTTTCTTTTCAACTGTAGATGGGCATATTTTTTCTTCCAGTTTTTGGCTATTATGGAAAATGTTGTTAATGAACGTTCCTATACATATGTCCTATTGCATAGGTATACATGTCTCTAGGTAGGGTATATATGATGGGATGGGGTATTCAGATCTTCATAGTTTCTAGATAATGCCTCATTTTTTTAGTTTTAATGTGGTAAAACTGATTTTTTTTTCTTTTATGGCAAAGGTATTTGTGTCTTAAGAAATCTTTCCTTATCTGAAGTTCTTAAAGACAGTCTATATTACCGTCTAACAGCTTTGTAATTTTCCTTTAGATAGTTCCTTAATCCTTAACATGAGATTGATTTTTATGTATAGCCTGACATAGGGATCCAATTTCTTTCATATTTCCAACATGAATAGCAAATTAACACCATTTACTACAAGTCAATCATTTACCAAATTATCTGCCATTACAACTTCCATCACATATCACATACACATAGGTTTCTGGACTCTGCTACACTGCTCTATTTGGAAATATCACATTATCCTACACTTGCCAATACCACATTATCCAATTACTGTAGTTTTATGTTCTGACATCAGATAGCAAATTCCTTTCAGTTTGCTTCTCTGTTAAAGGATATCTTGACCGCTTAGCCTATTGCATTTACATATACATTTTAGAATCAAATCAGCTTGTCAAGTTCCATAAAATTACACACTGGGGAACTGACTGAAAAACATTTCATAATGCTTCATAATTCATTTCATAATTCTCCAAACCATAAACGTACTACTTTTCTCCACTGAATTCTTCTTTAATATTGCTCAAAGTTTTGTAATTTTCTTCAGAAATTACTACATGTCCTGTTAAATGTATTCCTGGGTACCTGATGTTTGGTGATTTTGGAATTCTTAAATATTTCATTTCCTAGTTGTTTATATCTTATATATAGGAATACAATTGATATATGTACGTTTGGCAATCTTGCTAAATTCTTATTAATCCTGATAATTTATTGGTAAATTACTTTGGATTTCCTACATACAGACCACCAATTATCAAAGAATAGTAATATTCCTTGTTGCTTCTTTTAGAATCCTTTATATTTTTAGTTTGCTTTCATTAGTTTTGCATTAGCTAACATATCCAGTATAATGTTAAAGTGGTGACAGCAGGCATCCTTTTATTTTGTATCTCAAAGGGAGTATTTTCAATATTTGGCCATCAGACTTGTTTTAGAGTTTTAGTAGATACTCTATCAGATTAAGGTAGTTACCTCTGATTCCAAGTTTGCCAAAAATTTGTTTTTAATCATAAAGATATGTTATCAAATCCTACACTTTTTGTGAGCTGATGATGATTCTTCTCTAGGCAAGTTACATTAATTGATTTTTTTGTTGTTGAACCAACACTGCAGCTTCCTGGGACAAACTCGACCTTTTTGAATTGTTGAACTTGGTTTACTAGTATCTTATTTAAGATATCTGCATCTATTTCATGGGTAAAAGTAGACTGTAATTTTCCATTTCTGTAAAGTTTTTAAACTGACTTCAATATCGGAGTTACACTAGATTTTAGTATCTAGTCTCATAAAATGAACTGAAGAATAACCCCTCCTTTTTTATTCTTTGGAATACAGTAAGTTCTCACTTAACACTGTCAATTCGTTCTGCAATTTTAAGTGAAATGACTGTAATGAAACCAATTTTACCATAGGCTAATGGATATAAACAAGAATTAAATTCCTACATCTCATCAACATTTTAATGAAACAAGGTTGAATGAAACCACATTATTCAAGGACTTGCTGTAGCTGGTTTAAAACTGGTGGTGTTTCTTCCTTAACTGTTTTATAAAACTTACCACTGAACCCACCCATGAGGGTCAAGTTACATATTTGTGACACCTACTCTCACACTCACCCTGGGCTGAGAGTGCTGTCTGGAACAGTTTCATACATTTCAGGTTCTTTCTTCATTATGGTGGAGTTAAGGTGGACTGTTCACATCATAGAGATATGCTTCTTTTTCATTTTCATCATCAGCATTTTATTTTCCTTTCTGTCACTTTGCGTTTTAGCACATACATCCACAAGTGCCAACAACAAAGACCCATACTTCCACCAACTAAATTAAATGAAGACTCATACTTTCACCAACTAAATTAAATGCCTTCTTCACAGCCTCTTCTCACTTAAAACTGAAGTGTGGGCCTCAATGCTATGGAATATTAGGTTTTTTTCCTGATTTCCAAAGATTCAAAACTGCATGTATATTCCCAAATACCCACAATCTATTGCAAATGGTGTAGATAAGTATTGCTTCTCCTTCGTCTTACAGCATCTGTGAGTACGTAGTTATTTGGGGGAAAGCGTGTTATTCTTCGAACAACAGGCATCATTTAATTCACTTATTTTTGCTTATATAGTTTCCTCTTTTTAAAAGCTGAGGCATAATTTAACATATAAAGGAAAACCATAGGACATTTTAAGGCGTAAACGTTAAGAGTAAATAAATACTATTATAAAGCTCCAAAACTGTTGAGAATCACCAGTGAGGAGAAAGTAACTCATTAAAATGCACCCCCACCTCCTTGAACAGGAATCCAGGCCAGGATAAACACTCATGTTTCCTTGTTAAACTAAACTACTTCTTCCCTATCAGCCCCAAATCCTTCAGACTAGATCAGAAATTAGGTGTCTCAGCTGCTTTGTGACTCAATTGTGCAAATAATTTAACCTGTTCACTCTAATTTGAAGTCATCATGATAATACTTTCAGCATATGTAATTTTAGGGACTTTTCTCCTAGTTTTACTTACTTTCCTAGTCTTACTCTTCTAATTTTTTTAAACCGCTGTTTAATAGAGCTTCGACTTTTCCTTGAGTAGCAACTGGAAACTACTGGAGTGCTCCAGTTAATCACTCCAGTCAATATACCAAAGATCAATATACCAAAGATGGAACGCATCACAATGAAAATCTGACACCTAACCAATTCAAAATTTTATTTAGTACTGTTTAAAACAATGATAAAAGCTTTGGAGAACCAATTCCATTCCTTCTTTCCTCCATTCCTAAATAAAGCTTCATAGCTTTAAGCTACTTTATGCTGAATTGAGAAAAGGGTGTATGTTTACATATATATGTATATGTGTGTGTGTGTATATTTTTTAGATAAATAAGTGTATGCATTTTTGTGGAAATGCCTACCTTTCAGAAACAGCCTCATCATGATCCTGTGACAAATCAATCTTTTCAATTGCTTTTCCTGATGGGTTGGAAGGTTCAGAGTTCACAGAAGTCTTTCTTTCTTCTGGACTACTGTCCAAATTCAGGATCTCTGAATTTGCACCCTGTTAAATGGGTTGAGAAAAAGCAAGTAAGGGGAGGGTCACCATTGTGCTCTTCCACACAAAATAGATGATAGGTAAAATTTCACTTGGAAAATGTTCTCAAAATAATCTTGCATATATATGGCAAAACATATATTAAGTTATATGGATCTCAATAGCTGATGACCATGATTGCTGTTCTCTGCAAAAATGAATAAAAAAACAAACTTCAGGGCCGGCTGAGTGGCTCAGTTGGTTAAGAGCTCACTCAAAGGTTTGAGCTCTGAGCAACAGAGGTTCGAGTCTGGCCCGAGCTGAGCTGCCGCTGAGCTGCCAACAGGTGGCAGGATGGCTCAGCTAAAAAACAAAAACAAAAACAAAAAAAAACTCAAAGAAATGAAAATAATAGTACAAATCAACTTTCTAGCTTAAATGGAAAGAAGGAAAAGGAAACACCTAAGTATATAGACACATTTTATTAGACTAAGTTTTAGGAACTAATAAACATTAGAATTTAACAAGGAGGCTTTTAAATTCCGTTATACTTTTGGTAATAAGTGAAGACTAGAAATAAATAAAATTTCAGCTTGCTCTTCCATTTAATGAGTTTTGTTTAAAACTTGGAGCTGAAACGTTTAGACCATGCTTTGGTTGAGAACTTGCAGTATTTAAAACAAATGTGTATATTAACCAATATAAAAGGATCAGTTGATTGCCCAACTCATGGGCTTTTCTGATGAACAAAAATGCAAGTATACAAAGGCAGAAATGTTATTACTGGGTTATCGGAGAAGTCATGATGCTTTTTTGCAACAAAAAGCAGAAAAAACATGTCATGACTTTTCCAACAACCCAATATATTACATGTACAGATTATATATGCAGAAACAGGTTCAAACAACATTGGAAAACAATAGCAAAAAATACTGGCATTCTTTCAATTCTAGGACAAGGTGGCATAAAATCACTTTTCCCTGCTCCTCCCCTCTAAAGCACAATTAAATACCCTGGAAATAATTCCACGGATAATCCCAAAATGCCTGTGAAAGGTGGAAAGAAGAGGGTAGACTTCCTGGGGACCTCAAAATGAAGGAGCAACACTCCAATGAGTTCCCCGAGTTGATTTTTTTATTATCCATATATCCTACACTGGGTGCCGGAAAGACCAGGGACCCATCCTTCTCCTCAAACCTAGAGTAGGGGTGGCTAATCCCTTCCATACCTGCAGAATCAGCAGCCAGATTCACTGCAGCCATAGTGTCAGCTGAGTCCCCACCTGATACCTGGGGCAGCAGTGGCCCTAATAGGCGGCAGTAGCAATGTTGGCAAAACCCAGCCAGGAAGCAATGCCCTGGACTCTGCACCTGGAACAGCTGCAGGCCAAATCCACTGGTGACAGTGGTGGGTATGGATATTGAAGCATCAGCAGTGTCCCTGCTCCACATCTGGAACAGCTGCAGGCCCAATCTACTGCAGTGGCAGCGATCAGAAGCCAATGTTTCCTGGACTCCCCACCCACATCTCTAGGGAACACAGGCAGCACCAGCAGGGGCTGAACAAGAGATCCAGGGGAGCCAGAAGAATGAAGCCAACCAGAATTGCACCTCAAAGACTTCGAAGAGTAAACCGTCATTGGAACTGGAGCTCACAGAAGGAGTCCAGGACCTACATGGTAAATCTAAGCAGGGTAACTCCCACTGAAAGAGAATGAATGCAGACTCTCTTCAAAGAGCTCTCCATGTGACTGAGTACTCTGACATGCTCATCTTTCCAAGGCAGTAGCAAAAGCTTATCGTGAAACTGTTGGCTTTCTCTCCACCTCATGCTTTTCTGACAGTGAACCTCCTAATTTTAGGATCTTTTGCAATCTGGATAGGCTCAGAATTTCCAAAATCAAATCTTCCTGGTAACTTTTTGCTAAAGAGTTCTCCCTTCAATATATCTCTTTCCTCTCACATTTTACTATAAGAAGAAACCAAACCAAACCTTCAACACATTGCTCAAAAATCTTGTCGGCGTAATGAAATTCGGAGTTCATCACTTATAAGTTCTGTTTTCCATATCACTGTAGAACACACTTTAGCTAAGCTTCCTGCACTCTGTAACATGAACCCCCTTTCCTCCAGTTTCCAATAACATGTTGCTAATTTCCTTCTGAGCCCTCACTTGCAGCCTTTAATATCTATATTTCAACTAAGAGTCTGTTTAAGGTGAAAGGTTCTCCAAGGAGTTCAAGTCTGAGGCACATGTCCAAACCAAGCAGCTTTATTTTCCTGTTGGGGTTGAGCCTAAAACTGGCATCGGCCCCATGCAGGAGTCTGCAGGGGGTTCTTATAGGGTAAGCGACAGGGGAAGTAATTACAAGCATACATGAGCAGTTATCATTGCATAACAGGTACTTCTGCAGAAATTTTCTGTGGACCTTTACAGTTCTGCTACGTCTTGTTTCTATCAAGAAACCTGTGGTCAGGTGCTCGTTATTTCTACCCAAGAGGATGTCTGGCAGCTTTATTAGCAGGGTGGGAGGTGTCGCCTCCCTCTTGGTGCCCCTGGTAGCCCCTAGCATAAGGCAATCAGGATTTTTAAAAAATAATACTTCTCAATGTTCTTCCAGCCTCTACCCATCACATCATTCCAAATCTACTTCCACATTTTGCGGTATTTGTTATAGCAGCACCTCATACTTCCTGGTACTACATTCTGTATTAGTTTCCTGAGGCTGTTCTAACAAATTACTACACACTGGGTGGTTTAAAACAACAGAAATGTATTCTGTCACAGTTCTGGAGGCCAGAAATTTGAAATCAGTTTCACTAAGACAAGGTCCAGTTGATTGCAGGGCTTTATCCCTTCTGGAAGCTTGAGGGAAGAATCTGTTTCCTGTTTCCCAGCTTCTAGAAGATGCCAGCATTCCTTGGCTCATAGCCCCTTCCTCTATTTTCAGTGCCATCATTCCAACCTCTGCTTCCATTGTCCCATCTCTTTCTTCTGCTGTAACATTCTTGGCTCCTTTTTATAAGGACTCTTATGAGTACTGAGCCTCAGGATAATCTCCCCACCTACAAGCTTCTTTTACCATGAAAAAAAAGATATTCACAGGTTCTGGGGATTAAGTCACAGACACCTTTTCAGGGCCATTATTCACCATCAACAACCTTGGCACAAATAACACTAAAGTGACATTTATAGAATATTACAACCAACATTCTTTCCAAGTGTACATGGAACATTCCCCAAGGGACACTGTATTTTGAACTGTAAGTGTCAATGATTGTCAAGATTGAAATTTTATATAGTATATTCTCTGACCAAAATGAAATTAGGTAGCAATAAAAATAACATACCAAGAAAAGTACCAAATGTTTGAAAAGTAAACACACATGAGTTATTTCTAAATAACCCATGGGTCAAAGAATAATACCATAAGGGAAATCAGAAATTATTTTGAACTGATGGAAAACAAAAATACAATATATCAAAGATTATATTATAATCTCTGCACTAAGAAGTGAATAACCTAGGCACTGAGAAGATGCTTAGGATACGCTTAGGAAAAAGCACTGCTTAGGAGAAAATTTATAGCTTTAAATGTTTTCCAGTAGAAAAGAAGGTTAAAAATCAATGCTCTTTCTCTCCTAAGAAGCTGGAAAAAGAACAGATTATATTCAAAGTGAAAGGAAGAAAATAATAAAAAACAGAAGAGAGACAAGTGATAGAGAATTAATAAGATTTAAAAAACCCTGGGCAGGCTGATTAAGGAAAAAAAACATAGCTTACCAGTATAAAAAATGAATAGAATATATCATTACATATCTACAAATATTTTTAAAAATCAGGGAATTTCTTATGCTAAGAAATTCAACAACTTAGATAAAATGGGCAAATTACTTGCAAAGATAACTTACAAAACTGATACAAGATGAAATTTAAAAATCTGAATAGCCCTATACCTATTAAATTAATTCAGTGTTCAAGAAAAAGTCTTTCTACAAAAGAAAGCTCCTTTTCCAGATAGTTTTCAGAGGTAGATACTATAAAATATTTAAGGAAGTAATAAAAATCTTACACAAACTTTCAGAAACCAGGGGATGGAATACGTCTAAATTCATTTATTGAGCTAGCATAAATACGATACCAAAGTGAATAAAGATACTACAAAAAAATATATTCAGTGAATGTATATTGAAAATTATATTTAAATTTTATATAAAAAGATAAACATACTAAACTCTACTTAATGATAACCATACTGAAATATTTTATAAGTGTACATTACAGAGTACATCTTGCTGCAAAATACAGCTATACACAAATATAACAAATATAAAGATATCTTAGGGATGAATAAATTGACAGATATCTGACAAAAATAAATACATTAAAATAGTAAAGGTATAATTTAGGTGCTGAGTATATAACTGTTCACTATAAAATTATATCAACTTTGCTATATGTTTGAAACTTTTCATCCTGATAAAATGGTGGGGAGGAGGCTGGTCTAAGCAATCACAAATCATGTTTCTACTCAATTTGTAAAAGTAATACAAATCGCATTTACTTTTGGTTACCTAAGGGTATCTTCCCCAGAGATAAGTCACAGGAACATTCTAAATATCAATTTATTATCTTTTAAGCCTTCTGTTTTAGTTTGGAAACATATTCATTTCTTATAACCCAACTACTTATAATGTGGGTCAACTAAGTTATTAAAACACCTATGTGTTTATACCAACCTGATTGGCTGTATTACTGGATGACTCATTTGGTTCCAAAGAGTTCTTTTCAGGTAACAATGCTTTTTCGATACGTCTTTTAAGTCTTGCTACTTTTTCCTAGAAGAAAAAGAGGAAAACAAATAAATATGGCACCAAGAGTACTAAATAATATACAGAAATGGAAGGAAAACTATTTGCCAAAGTAGTTTTGTGAGACTTAAGCATCCACTGAAATAAATCAGAAATCCTTATATAAATCAAAGATTTAAATCACATTTGATGCATCCATCGACTGATGAATAAAAAAAGATCACACACAAACACACACACAGGAATACTACTCAGTCATTGAAGAAAGATGAAATATTGCCATTTGCAATAACGGATGAATCTTCAGGGTAATATACTAAGTAAAATCAGTCAGACAGAAAAGGACAGAATTGTGTAATTTCACTCACACAAACACACAAAAAAAGAAATCAGCCAACCCAAACAAACCAAACCCTTAGATACAGACAACAGATTGGTGGTTACAAGAGGGGATGGAGGTTTTGGAGGAGGGCGAAGTAGGTAAAAGGGTCAAATGTAGGGTTACAGATGGAAACTAGACTTTTTGTGGTGAGTACACTATAATGTATACAGATATTGAATTATAATGTTATACACCTGAAATTTATATACTGTTATACACCAATGTTATCTCAATTTAAAAAAAAAATCGTGTTTAATGCTAGTATGACATTCTAGAAGATAAAAACATCAAAATTCTAATTGGTCCATAATAAAATTAATGTTGATAGAAACACCAATCAGCAAGTAACCTTAGAAGAGGAAAACAGAACCAAAAAAACCCCACAAAATGACTGAAACTGGTTGTATAGCTCTAATACAGAATATATTTTGAATTAAAAGAAACTGCCTATGTATTAAGCCTGTCAACTGACACAGAAAGGCTGGTATTTCTAAAAGTATTTGTCAAGGGCCAATATTGCTGAGATATAATAAATTCTATTACCTACAAATTCTGGTACATCTGGCTTGTGGCCAGGGATCATACTTGGATCTGCCTTTGTTTTCCTTTCCTGACATATAAAATATCATCAAATTCTATTTTTTAAAAGGACTCAAATGAAATCAAATGAAATTAGAAACTTACGAAGAGTTCACCAGCTATTGCTTCATGTTTATTCCTGCACTGTGTCTTCCCAATGCGTTCGGTCAATTCTTTCAGTTTGTTATCAAATAGTTTGTAATTTATACTACACATCTCCTGTCGAATCAAATGTTTGACCTAGAATTTTAAAATAAAAACCAAAACACCCCACGTTTCAAATTTAAAAGCAGTTTTATTTCCTACTTCCTAAAAATAGCTTTGCTCTTTTCTGGATTTACTGTAATCAATAAAATATACTTCATATTATGAAATTTATAATTTATATTAATATAACAGTAAGTTTTATAAAAGTTGAATATCAAATTCAGCAAAACACACCTAATATTTAAATATGTGTATGTTAGAAATGAAATTTATCCTCCTAGCGGATTTTAGTTTTCTATAGTTTCAGCTGAATTCCAAATACATATTAAAAGAACAATAAAAGTCTATATATATCCCATTTATATTTTTTAATGACCATAACTGAAACCTAGTATTCCATAAAAAGAACTCTACTTATCTGAAAACCAGTCCAATGAAAATGGTTGGTTGGTCTGTGGTAAATACAGAGCAAATTATGAAAGTATGAGCCTTGACCCTGCCATTAACAAGCTATGTGACCTTTGGGAAGTCACAACATCTCTGAGCTTCGCTTTCCTTGTCTACAAATGGGTAGATGATACAATGTTGAATGAGTGACACTCATTGAATTTTTTTAATAAAAAAGCTAACATGCAAAACAGCTCCATAAGATGGAAAACACTGAATTGATATGAAGGAAATAAACATGCAAGATAATCTCCTTTACTTGAAGGTTTTTTAGAGGGTGACTTTCTTATTGTTAAAATTGAAATAAGCCAGGGACAATAGGTGGTGACTAACATTATCTGGCATAATGCATGCTATTCTAACAGATCACAGTAGCTATCATATGAAACACTGATGCATTTCATTATCTGGATGATTTTTAGAAAACAGACTGGCCTATTTTCAGGCAGCATAATTAATCTCAATGCCCACTGACATGAACAGCCAGCCCTGTTGAGCCATGCATTCAGAAACATCCACTGTAGTTATCTGCTCAGTGTGTATCGTCCTGTAAACAACTTTCATAACAGTTGGTAGTCTTTCTTAGTCACAAAACCTATCACAATACGTTAAAGTCTTTATTAGTAATATTTACAACTTTCCCCTAATGTCTTGCCTCTTGGTGCTCAAAATTGGAACATAAAGTTTCTATGTTAAACTCTTTTATACTGATATCATCTGAATGATTAGTCATATTCAGTAATTTGATTATTCCCAAGGTTTCTCCTTTTCCTTTTCAATTGTTCTTGCTCTTCAACATTACTGGACATGACTGTCATTACTACTCTAACACTTTAAAATATTTGATTAAATTAGTAAGTGCTTAAAATATATATATTATGTAAGTAAATGCTCAGAAACACATACTATTTTACCTAACAGTCATTACCTTTCACCCGGGTGTGGTTTTTATAGATTATTGCATACTTGCCAGTTCATTGGCAGGGGCCAATATGCGAAGCTGTACCCAGATGAATCATGGAGAAACATATCTAAGTGTTTTGGAATACTGTTTTGCTAACAAGCAAAGGCCACACAGTAGAAAGCTGAATAACAGGTACCAATAATGATTCTTATCAGGTACGGTTAAGTTTGAGAAAAGAGTGGCCTAAAACAAGTCTTCAACTATTCATGAGCTCAAGAAACCACAATTTAAACAAGTATGCCTGGTGATTCAGATGGAGACAGACACTTAAAACTCCGTTATTTTGGACTAAATGTCCACCAAGGGGTGATTCCTCTTGGTTAGAGCGGACATTTGTTCTCATTTAGTGGTGATGTTCTTCATACAGAAGGAAGACACAACAGCCTCCACCAAATACCTCAGGAAAGTCTTCTGCTGATGGTAATATGTCCAAATTATGAAATCAGATCGACGTCCTAGATACAATTTGCAGATGGCAGCCAAAGTGGCCTAAAGATTGGAGAAAGACTGGTGGGTAGAGTGACTAACTTGGATTTTAGAAGAAAAATCCCTCTACTTCAATAATTAATTGGAACCAACTAGGCCAAAATCCTTATGAAATCTCAAAAAATGAGTCAACAACTCTGGGACCCTGTCAATAGAGAAGAACAATGTCAGACGGGAGGCCTTATTCCTCTGGGATTCAAACAAGACAAACAAACAGATGTTTGTTTACTATTTGGACAGGAATCAAAACATTAAGTAAGACAAAGCTAGCTATTTAAAGATAGGTAAAAAGATAGGAATTAGCTGAAACCTAAGTTGTCTCTGGAGAATGTTTAAGAAACTTCTGCATAGGGGGTGGGAGGATAGGCGGATAACAAAATAAACTTCATTCCCTAAACCTCACTGGGAAAGACCATTTTCTGTATCCAAGTACTTTGTGAGGCAGATAATAGTGAATGAAAACACTGATTTTTCTATGCCAGTGAGATTAGAACTTTCAAAGATTAAATTTTGTCTTTTTATGTCCATATCAAAACTTATTTCTGAATTCAGCTACTAATTACAGGAAATAAGCTAGATCCATCTTAAACTAGATCCATGCTTACCATAATTCTGCTACCACTTCCCTGCAAACAATAGAAAATTGACATATTTTTTATTAGTGTCTCTTTTCGTCTACCTAGAAGAAAACAAGAGGTAGGGAGGGGAAAACTGTGGACTCGTCTGTTAAGCTGGTTCTGTAGAAGTCTTTCAAAAAGGTTTCCAGTTATTATGTGAATACACGTTCATATAATATGTAACTATATAGTTGTAATGGTCTGTTTTAGAAAACAGTAGTGTTTTTGTTTCTGATATAGTTAGCAGGATAGTTTGAGTTGGGACATTTTGTTCCATTATAGCTGACAGGCATTAATTTATTACTTAATGATTTTTAGTTGGCTTTCTAGTGGTAAATAAAGTAAAATAGCAAACATGATCATCAAAACAGGACCTATTAAAATTGAAGCTCATTCTCAGAGTTGATCAGACATGTATGAAAACTGCAGTACAATGAGATGACATGGGGCAAAAATGAAAGCAAACCATGCATTTAACAATGCCATAAAGCAAAATGTCACATAATGCAGCATAACTAGTAAACTTGCAAATTACAACAAGTAAACCTGAATGTAATAGGACTTTGTAATGAACTTCGGGATTGTCTGGGCCTGTGAAGTAGTGGTGAATCATGTTAAGGTCTACAAACAGCTATCGATGTAAATCAAAGAACCCATGACCAGTACAAAATATTGTTCAGCAAATTTCAAGGTTATGCAGTATCTGACTCACAAAGAAATTTGAATGCAACATGGACTGAAAAGCCCATTCTATTTCTACCAGAGCCCTCTACCCAGGTTACTCGCATAGGATATCATTCTCAAGAAACTAGGGATATTTTGGTAATGCAAATGCATATCTTTCCCTCATATCTCCATCTGCTAATTCAGTTTTCATAAACCAGCTTTGCATCAAGTGAAGGTCATCTGTACTGTCACTGTGGAGATCAATGAGCTTTTATCATTTTTTATTAATGAAAAGTAAACTTTTCTAAAGCAAATATTTAAGCCCCAATATTTTACCTGTTCCAGCAATGCTGTTTGCTTTTCCAGAGCTACACAAATATTTTCATTAATTTTCTCTGAAGTTTTCAGGCGTTTAACATTTTCTTTGTTTTCTGAAAACATCCTCTTCTTTTGACTATGGCCTTGGGGAGATGGAAAGATCAGAGATAAAAATATTCCTTCTAATGAAGGAAGCAGGAGAATTCTCTAACTCAGGGACTCTCTAAGCAAATGGAAAAACTAAAATGTGACCATAGCAGCACTTTTTAGAAAATTAAATTGTATAAGAAATTTTTGACAATCTAATTTTTAAAAAAATGAATATCCTAGGTAGGATTCTGGTGTCAGATACACTTTCCCTTCAACCTTATATAATACTCATTTAATACGTATTTAATGCCAACAAAACCTAAATTATAGCATTTAATCCTCTATTTACAGCTATTTAAGTGGTCTTATATTTTTATAAACAGTTACTTAGGCAGTCCTGCGTATTTTCAATAGGTGATACTATTTTTAAGCAATTTTAAATTCATCTTGTTACATGATCACTCTGTAGCCTAGACAAGAACATAAAATTTATCCTATGAAATCAGTTTATCCTTATATTTCATTAACCTACAAACACCTTACTTCTGATAAAATATACTTTTGCTATTTTAATGATTTTATAACTCTAGACATTCATTGGTTGATTATTTGATGCATTTCTCTCACTCTACACACACATGTATGCATGTATATGTGTATATATTCTTATCTATCAACTCATATTAGATGTGATTTACAGGTCTATTCTATGTCTTTCCACGGGTTCACCAACAATTTAAAAAAACACATTCTTTCTTTCAACTAGCCTCCTATTAATCTAATAAATATTAGCTCAAAATAAGAAAATACGTAGATGAAATAAACCAAACAATTGCCATAAACCACCTTTTAATTTTTTGTACTCTAAAGTGACTGATTTCTTCTTTGCCAGAATTTACTTCCCTTTGGATATGTAGGATACTGTTACCCCTCCCCACCAGAAAGATTCAGAAATAAGATACTCTGAAATAATTATTGTTATTATTTACCTTTTTCTTGTCTATATGTACTCTACTATTTCTGTATCTGAGACTATAAAATCCCCCCAAAGAAAGTGACTTTTAAAATTTCTCCAAAAGGTATACAAATATACACTTACTGTTATTACTATCTGTGTCAAGTGATGACAGCCACATTGAATCTGTATTTTCACAATTTGAAATGCTGGAATGACAGGTTCTATAAGAGTCTTCACTTTTTAAAATGTCAGCATCACAGTTACTAGTAATGACTGAATTCACCAACGTAGGTCTTTTATCAACAAGCACAAAACAGTTGCTTGAACTTAAAATCAAAACGTCATTTTGCCTTTTATCATGTGATGCAGAATTGGAGTTTGTTTCTAAGTGGGAAACTGTCTTGTCAATTCTCTTATCGTCCAAGGTATTGATTTCTGTAGACTTTGGCATTTGAACTATACCACTCAATACACTAGGTGGATCACTAATGGATTTCAGATTACAATCCTCTTTGTGTTGTTCAAAAAACGGTCTTGTTACGTTTGCCTGACATTCAGAATGGTTTTCCGAAGTGTTCTGTGAATCTTTTGCCTCTTGTGTAGGCAGGTTCCTGGGAGATTCTATTGTTTTACTTGGCTTTTGGTAAGGGCATACAATTTGTCTTTCAATGTATTCCCATCTTGTTTCCAAATCTAGTGGTTTTACTAAATTCTGAGATAATACTTCATTTTTCTGTGAACACATTGAATTTTTGTTAGAGTCCAATGAGGAAGCATCATTTTCAAAACGTCTACATTTGTTAGTTATGACACCAGTACTGGGATTCTTATTACCACTTGAAATATTATTTCCATTTGCTGCCATTTTCAATGCTTCAACATTCTTTGACTTATTCAGGACCTCTATTTGCTTCCGGCAACTTGCAGGCATTGTTTTTTTGGCTTTTAATATCTTCCGTTCACTTCTATCTGGACTTGCCATCTTTCATATCCTAAAATTTAAGATACCATATTTAAATGCATTTCTCAGCAGACAAAAGCTAACATTTATTTACAGTATTAAAACAATGTTGAGACTATCTCTCCAGATTTGGATAATTATTTTTAATGAAAATTACTTTCATTTTCATCTGTCACTAAAAATGTACAATTAATTTTTTTTCTATAAATCTAAACTATACAAATTCAAATTTTATACTGCCAGTGAGCCTCTACTTGATACTAAGCCTGATAATTTATCTGGCCACATTTTGTAACATCACTTCACTGCTATAATCATTAACTTCTGGTTGAAATAATCTAAGTAGGCCATACTTTAGATAATCTAAAGATTAAGTTGCATTTCTTCATAAAAACAAAAAACAATGTTTTGCATAGAACATTTAATTTTCTCCACACAGTGGCACCTTTTTAAAGCTTTCCTAATGTTCAAATTCAAGTTTCCAAAATAAATGGTAGTGCAGGAGTAATTCTCAATAGTTATTAATGTAAAGGGAGCACAAAGATACACAATATGGTGCCAGTTCAAATACGAAAGCCAATTTAGGTTTTATAATACAAAATTCTTAATTATTTCCCATAATTTAAGAAAAATCTACTACACAGAGAAATATTTTACTATTTATCTCTCAGTATCCACATCAACTTTGATTTGAACCGCTGGTAGGTAAACGGCTTAAAAGAAAGAAATACTGCTCTTTTTTCCAGCCCATATCCCTTGACATTATAGATCACATGCATGATCCTGGCAAGGGCCTGTCCCAGTTGGCTCTGCCCTATCACCTGGCTGAAGTTGACATCTTATGACATGAAGGAGATGTACGAACTGGCCTAAAAGGGTCTGACTCCTTCAACAATCAGTGTGACCCTGAGAGACTCACATGGCACTGCACAGTGATAGGCAATAAGGTCTTGAGAATTCTTAAGTCGAAAGGACTTCCTCCCAATCTTCCTGACAATCTCTACACTTAATTAAGAAAGCTGTTCAGAAGCATCTCGAGAGGAATAGAAAGGATAAGGATGCTAAATTCAGTCCAACTCTGATCAAGAGCTGTAATCCCTGGTTAGCTTGATGTTACGAGACCAAAGGAGTCATCTCTTGCAATTGGAAATATGAGTCATCCACAGCCTCTGCCATGTTTGCGTAACTTTGTCTATTACTCAAGCAATAAAATCATTGTTTAATTAGGGGGGGAAAAGAGAAAGGAATACTTTGAGACTTCCGGTCAACATGGAGTACGTAAACAATGTGCTTGCCTCCTCCCATGACCACATAAAAATTACAACTTATAGGACAGCCATCATTGAGAATCGCCTGAAGTCCTATAACTAAGGATACAAAGAAGCCATGACGAGACTGGTAGGAGGGCAGGGACGCAGAACAGGCAGGACCCACATCCACATGTGGCAATTAAGAAATGAGAGGGAGGCCTTTTGAGCATTTTCAGCCTTGCCTCTGCTTGGGGCCTGCTCCAAACTCTTTGGGGTGTACTTTCTTTTCTAATAATGGCCCTTCAGCCATTCTTTACTGCTTGGGCCCGCTTCTGCTTCTTTGAAATGTATTTTTACTTCTAATAAACTCCTTTTCTGCAACTTAAAAAAAAAGAAAGGAAAAAAAAGAAATGAGAGGGATTATCTCGGCTGAGGAGGTTCCCCCTGCAGGAGTGAGGGGTCCTAGCCTCACATTCAGGTCCCCAGCCAGGGGCAAAAGTGCTGGGAAGAGGAGCCCCCCCCCCATAACATCTAGCTGTGAAAACCGACAAGGATTGCATCCGAGTGACACAGAGAGCTGCCGGAATCCCAGGAGTTCCTCTTGAGGGACCTGCACACAAACACACTCGCTCACAAACTCACTCACTTGACTAGCTTCAAGGCGAGGGCTGGAGGGTGAGGGGTCAGGGCAGCTGTCAGAGTGGGGATAGAGGAAACAAACCCACAGCTTATAGCATACTAAAGGGTGAAAAGCTGAGAGCATTTTTTTTTTAATTGAGCCATCCTGCCACCTGTTGGCAGCTCAGCTTGGGCCGGGAATCGAACTGGCGACACTGTGTTTGGAGCCAATTGAGGACAGTTGGGGATATTGAGGCTGTGGCAAACTGTTACATGCCTCTATGCAGGACCCTATGCCTAAAGGAGCAGCTGGATAAAAGAGTCTGCTTAGTAACTGCATTCGCTAGGCTTAAGACACTCCCAAAAGTACCCATTCCCACAGCAAGCCTACCGCAGAGCCCACCGCATATGCTTGTTTACAGTTTCCCTATAGACTCATAGCTTCGGGGATTTCAGGCCTCCTGAAATTCCCGGCCCTAGTTCCTGGTTTCTGTATGCCTGCATCCAAAACTCCCTGTGAAAACCCCCTGCCAAAAGCTCCTACCTACACAAAGACGAACTTACTGCCTATATAACTAAGACCTTTCCAATAAACAGTGTCTCAGTCTGCTACCCGCAGCCTGAGTCCCTCCTGTTCCCTAGCTTTTGTCTCTTCTCTATATTTCTTGTCTCCCATCCAATCCTCTCAGGGACCGTTCGGGGGGCATCTGGCCTGATCAACCAGACATCCTCAGGTGGGCCGAGCGGGTCTCAGCAACCCTGTTGCTCAGAGCTCATAGTCATGAGCAAGCTCTTAACCAACTGAGCCTCTAGGCTGAGAGGCTGAGAGCTTTTTAAGATCAGGAACAAGATATGGCTATCCACTTTCACCACTTTTATTCAACATAGCATCAGAAGTATTCAACACCAGCAATCAGACAAGAAAAAGAAATAAAAGGCACCCAAATTGAAAAGGATAATTGTCATTATTTGCAGATGACATACTATATAGAGAGAACCCTAAAGAATCACCAAAAAAAACCCCCTATCAGAACTAATAATTAAATTCAGTAAAGTACCAGGATAAAAATTAATATTCAGAAATCAGTTCCATTTTTATACACCAATAATAAATTATCAGAAAGAGAAATTAATAAAACAATCCCATTTACAATTTCACCAAAAAGAATAAAATAACTAAGAATAAACTTAACCAAGAAGGTAAAACTTTAAGACACTAAAGGAATACATTGAGGAAGACACAAAAAAATGGAAGGATATACTGTGCTCATGGATAGAAAGAATTAACATAATTAAAATGTCTATACTACTCAAAGCACTCTACAGATTTAATGCAATTCCTATCAAAATACCAATCGCATTTTTCACAGAACTAGAACAAATAATCCTAAAATTTATATGGAACCCTGAACAGCCAATGCAATATTAAGAAGAACCAAGTTGGGGCCAGCTGAGTGGCTCAGTTGGTTAACAGCGCGAGCTCTGAGCAACAGGGTCGCCGGTTCAATTCCCACATGGGCCAGTGAGTTGCGCCTGAGCTGAACTGCCAACAGGTGGCAGGATGGCGCAGCTGGTGAGAGCATATGCTCCTAACCACAAAGTTGCTGGTTCATCTCCCACATGGGATGATGGGCTATAATCACCCACAATTAAGAGTGAACACAGCACCTTGAGCTGAGCTGCCCTGAGCTGCCAACAGGCAGCCAGATGTCTCAGTGGTTAGAGCTTGCGCTCTTAGCAACAAGGTTTCCAGTTCAACTCCCACATGGGATGGTGGGCTATGCCCACCTGCAACTAAGATTGAACATGGCACCTTGAGCTGAGCAGCTGCGAGCTGATGGGCAGCCGGATGGCGACTGGGCTTGGAGCTGAGCTAGCTGTGCCCTCTACAACTAAGTCTGAAGGACAAGAACTTGGCTGCTCCCCTTCCCCAGTTCCCCAACACTGTTCCCCTTCCCCAATAAAAAAAATCTTAAAAACAAAAAAGAACCACCAAGTTGGAGGCTATCACACTACCTGACATCAAACTATACTACAAGGCTATAGTAATCAAAACAGCATGGTACTGGCAGAAAAACAGACAAACAAGTCAATGGAACAGAATACGAGCCCCCAAATAAACCCATGCTTATATGGTGCATTATTCTATAACAAGAGAGGCAGGAATATAAAATGAGGTAAAGATAATTTCTTCAATACATGCTGTTGGGAAAACTCAACAGACACATGCAAAAGAACGAAACTGGATCACTTTTTAATACCATATATAAGAATAAACTCAAAATGGATTAAAGCCTTAAATGTAAGAACCTGAAACCATAAAACTAGAGGAAAACATAGGCAGTAAACTTTTTTTTTTTTTTTAAGATTTTTATTGGGTAATTGGGGGGATGGGAACAGTGCTGGGGAATTAGGGGAAGGGGAACAGACAAGTTGCTGTCGTTTTGTTCTTCAGTCTAGTTGTGGAGGACGCTGCTTCACTGGCCCAAGTTGGCACCATCATTGCGCTCTTCCCTGGCGAGGCAGATCAGTCGCCGGCTTCTGGACGGCCGCTCACTGCGGCTGCTGGCCGCTCACGCTGGCTGCTGGCTACACACGGTAGCCCATGGCAACCCACTGCCACAGGGACTGCAGCCTATGCTGTCGCCAGCAACTCACGGCAGCCCAGCTCCAGGTTGAGCTGTTGTTCAGCATCTTAGCTGTAGAGGGCAGTGTCACTGGCCCTCATATGTGGGATCCGAACCGGGGCCCTCTGGCATCCCAAGCGAGCTCTTAACCATCGCGCCACTCGGCCGGCCCAGGCAGTAAACTTTTTAACATCACTCTTAGTAGTATTTTCTTAGATATGTCTCCTTGGGCAAGGTAAACAAAACAAAAAATAAATGGCACTATATCAAACTAAAAACTTTTTGCATAGTAAAGGACATCATCAACAAAACGAAAAGACAAACTAATGACTGGCAGAAGATATTTGCCAATAATATATCTGATAAGGAGTTAATACCCAAAATATATAAGAAACTCATAAAACTTATCACCAAAAAACCAAACAATCTGATTAAAAAATGGGCATAGGATCTCAACAGACATTTTTCCAAAGAGGACAACACATTAAGATAGTTAAAGACTTATGAAAAATGCTCAACATCAATAATTTGAAAAC